TCAAGATAGAAAGAAAGAAGCAGATTCAACATCTTACTAAGAAAAAAAACAAGTATTAACCATTTAATTATCCTAAAATAACTTAACGTGACTTTCTTGTTTTGCTGTTTTTGCAGTATGTTTTCTTTCCTATTTACTGAAACTCGGGTACCAGACGACCTCGTCTCCAGCTCACCTGGCCTCTCCGGTCTGCGTCTCCATCTGGTTGACCCAGCTCTTGTAGATGTCCACCGGGTCGGTCTTGATGTTCAGCGTTTTGTCGTCCATGGTCTCCTTGACGACCGGTGCCAGGATCTGCCGCAGCGCGTTCTGTCCCCGCGCACCTCGGTGGAAGCTCACCACCATCTTGATGATCGTAGGGTTTCCTGTGACGATCTCCTTCATCTGGTCAACCTTTGACCTGCGGACAGTTGGAACTCGTCACTGTGTACTCATCCACCGGGCCACATCGGGGAATTTTACAAACAAACTTTTGAAATGTCGCAAAATAACGGAAATGCCAAGTAGATACGTTTCCATCGAGTGGATGTATTCTCCCAGGTTCTGACCCCCATATACAGAAAATGTGAAGAAACCCTGCGTTTTACTTCTCTTTCAATACATTTTATGTCTCTACAAAAAGCCAGCTGTGCTTCACACAATGTTCTCATAATAAACTCAGCTACAGCGTGGTTTGGTCAGAAGATGGCGCTGTAGTCGAAGCATGGCTGTAATTTGTAAGTACACAAGAGTAGAAGAAGAAGTAGAGGTTGTCCCCGTGGCCATATGACCATCGACGAGAGGAAAAAAGGAGAAAAGTCTTCAGGAATTAGTTTCAGTTGTTTTCACAGTTTGAATCGTTCTTTCATGTCAGCTGGTGTCGGCCATGTTGTCCTGAGACGAAGATACGCCTTCACACGTTCTGGTAATATGTCGGAATACGCCGACAGTGGAAACAGTCACTCATGTGATTTAAAGTGAATACCAGTCGTAATGAAGTCAGAGTCAGCCAGCAGATGACATCATCACAGGCGCGAAGGCTCTGCAAGCGTCTCCTGGTCAAGAACCTCTGGATCTTTGGATCTGAGCTTTTCAGAACGTGACTAACACAAATAGTTCACTGATGGAAGCACTATTATCATATCTGAGGGTTTTACAAAGCAGGGGAATTCACTTTTAAACGCTTTAGAAACAGGAGGCCTTAAAAATCTACATTTGAGTAAATAGTTTGCAGGATATTCAAGCTTTGTTTCTTTGTAATGCTTTTAATACTTGACTTCCTTCTGTACAGGTATTCTTTGTCTTCTTGATTCTTCTCAGTACATGTTGTTAGTGCGCCATCTGGTGTTTCGGAGAGTTATGCCACGAACAGTGTGTGTATAACGTGTATGAACACCTTTGTGCGTGGTAGTAGTTTGTGCAACATCTGCTGAGGCTCATGGTACTGAGCGAGTACAAACAAGGCTTTAACTGTTCGCTTCAGTCGAGGCCGTCTAGCGCATCAACTCTTTTCCATACAGCTTTTCTAACGCGATACTTTGAGTGCGTATAAGAATTCATGGACGGTTCTTACTTGATCTCCTCCTGCAGGGCCGTTTTGAAGAGCTTGGTCAGCAGGTACTCCTCCCTCTGGTTGGAGGCGTAGTTATAAAGGGTGAAGATCACAGAGTCCATGAACTTTGTGGATTTATTCTGCGGCATCTGGAAGATCAGCTTGGCGAGATACGTGGGGTTGGTCTAAAAAAAATAAGCAGAAATGTGAGAGTTGATCAGAGAGGTGTGATTGTGTTGTTCAGGATCTAGAGACAGAGAAGTACTGTAACGTTACCTGTAGCAGGTAAAAGAGGTACTGGTAGGCTTCCAGTTTGAGCCTCTTCTCCTTGCTGAGGGCCTTCAGCCCCCCCCTCTGCTTGTTCATCATCATCATGTTGGACAGCTGGCCCTTGTTCTTCTTGGTCAGCTTCTTGCTGTGGGACACCACCTCCTGCAGCGTGATCTTGTTCTTCACCAGCAGGCCGATCTTGATGTCCATCAGGTTCAGGTCGTTCTCCAGCTGCTGGTTGGAGCGGATGTTGGTGACCACCTCCTCGCGGAGACGCATCAGCTCCAGCTCCTCCTGGAAGTCCTGGTCGCTGTGGTCCAGCAGGTGGACGAACTTCCTCACCACCGCCATCGGAGGGTCCTCGGCGCTGACTGAGGGAGGACATTGTTTGAGAGTCAAGATGCCGCCAAAGCTGGAGAGAACATATACGTATATATACACACATATATATGTATATATACACACACACAGAGATATAAATACAATATAATAAATTATTAAGATAATAATATAAAAATGAAGAAGAATAAAATAAATAAAATCATTTGTTTTCAGCACACTGGCATCGGCTCAGTGTTTGGTTTGATTTGCACTCACTCAGCGTCTTGTAGTCGTCTCTGGCCTTGTTGGCTCTAATGAAAGCCTGAATCTTCACCACCTGACTGATCTGCAGTAGAAAACAGCAATCGCTTGTCTGATCAATGGTCTTCATTATGAAACAGCACCACAGGAATCCACTGTGAGTCGCAGTGGAGTAGATGACTCCGTCTGCCTCCCTCCGACCCCACAGGACACGGACTAAATGTGGGCGGATGTCTCGGGGGAAATTTAAAGCTTCTATTAGATGAATGGTTTCTGAACACCCTAATTCTTGAGACAGACGATCTACAATCCAGTGTCTTGATTCTTTTAAATCGTCCAAAACCAGCTCAACAGAGAAAACTCAAAATCTCTCGAACAGATCTGCATCCTTTCACACCCATCGAGCTGTTAAACTTAACTTATCTTGAAATGTTTAAAAATACTTATGAAACAACGTTGTTGACATCATCTGCTTTGCTACTTTCAGCCTCCTATTCATGCGTGTTTTTTAATTATTATCTGTCCCTTTTTGTACTTTTTATTTTGCATCTCAATGGGACCTTTCTGGTTAAATCAAAAGAAACATTTTCGGCAAATGTTTGAGGCTTTGAATACTCACGTGGTCCTGGAAGTACTTCAGACGATCCTTGTATTTCTTACGAGCTTGGTGCATCCGGACCATGGACTGGATCTGAGAAGGACAGAAACAAATCCTTTAGTGTCGACTGTATTCATACTGCCGATAACAATGAGAGGTGCACCCATTCTGTGTTCAGATCTTTTATTTATTTTTAAGTTTGACAAAACAGCCTTTAGCGGCTGTTACAGCTGTTTGCAGCTGGCTTCACTCTTTCCTGTTGACTGTCTCTTCGTTTCTTTTCTGTCTGTGGAATTCAGACCAACAGTTATATTTACAACGACGAAAGCAAGCAGATTAAGAAGATGTGTCTGTAAACCTGTATTTAGGGGATAAATGAGCAAAAAGAAAGAGAAAAAGACATGATTCGACTACAGAAAAGATTCGACCAATCGGATTCAATTCTTCTACGGCTTATTTTGGACTCGCTGGTTTTACAGATTGTGTGTAAATTTAAACGGTGTAAATGTATATACGAGACGATAAGTTAAGTTAAGAAAGAAGTTCTTGTGCCAGAGTTTTATCAAAGATTACAACAGAAAAAAATAAACATGTATGAACAACAGAATAACAATTAAGTGTAAAATAAGTAATACTGACACTAGTGCAACAATACAAATGAAAAGCAATAAGAAAAATTCAACAACAAAGTAGTTTACTCTAAATACAAGAGTAAAAAGTGAATAAGAAGTAATAAGAGCATCAGTGCCTCATAGAAACTTAGCAAAACAGTAATATTAGACATGATATTAAAATGTAACAATGTTAAAAGTAGAATTGTCCATGACGTGGTTATTTCAGTTCATAATAATAATGTGATCACGATAGTTTTACCTTGACGGCCTCGTCGCTGTGCTCCTCCAGATACTGTTTACGCTCTTTGAACTTCTTCCTCTGTTTGTGGCCTTTCCAGTGCGCCTGCGAACAGAAAGACTTTCAGCAGAAGTCCTGAAGGCAGACAGACTCTCCTATGACCATATGACGTACAGGTGCATCTCACCTGTATGCATGTAACAGCAGGGTCTTGTGATTTCAGGAAGTTCATCCGCTCCTTTTGGCCGTTCCTCACCAGGTAGCCACGGCAGCGGGCCTGCAGCTTGGCAATGAGAGACTCGTTGGCCAGCCACAGCTGCTCTCGATTGTAGGCCGTGGTTACACCGGAAACCACCGACTGACGGGGACAGCACAAAAACAACCAGTTAAACACGATGTAAAGAAATGAAATACTTCTAATACACAGGGAGCGTGACCTACCTGGATGTCCTCCTTGTTGAGCTGGGTGTTGTTCTGCAGGAAGCCCTCCGGCTCCACCCAGGTGCCCTCTTTGGTCTGCAGGTTATAATAGTAGTTGTGTCCTCCCTTCACCCAGTGTTTCACCCACTCGCTGCCATTATCGCCTGCACCAACAGCAAAACAGAATGCAGGTGAACAAGGTGGAGAAACAACGTGGGCCAATAATTAGCAGGAAGCATCATCGCTCCATTTTAAATGTATTTCAGTAAGAAGCTCTAAACAATGTACTGCTGTGGACGTATTTTAGACACTTGAAAAAAGTAAATATCAGTTAAAGTGTACGCTATATTTAGAATATTTTCACTGTCCACATGACTCTGTTAGGGAAAAATGATTGTTTTTATCAATGGAATCTGGTGTCCTCCTGTGTGTTTCTATAAACTCATCTATTGTAGTAGAACTCTGACTCTGGAGAAGAACCTCATACAAACACACTTCATATATTACAGATATCCTAATAGTGTTATTAACTTCTAAACGTCACAAACCCTCACTTTAAAAACACTAAAAAGATGCATCAAAAAGTTCTCCTCACCCTCTGTCTTCTTCTCGTCTTTGATCTTGGACAGGTCATCCTGGTAGGTCTGGGAACACTCCGAGGTGACTCCGTAGAGTCCCGCCCCGGGTCTTCTCAGAGCAGCCAGGGTCTGAGCCGGTTCGCCGCTGTCCACCGCCTCGTTGACGGCCTGGATGGACTGCGAGACTGCGGATACAAAACGCAAAAAAACATCAGCCTTTTTCTGCTCTTCACACTGTCCTCACACCTCGAACACTGTGCAGGTGGGTGGTACTTGTTCTGTAATCTTTTGCATGTAGAATAGGTCCAGTAAAATGAAATGAGAGTTACACTGTAAGGCTTCCTGAGTGTCCTGGTTCGCCCTCAGAACGGCGTCCTGGATCTCATCCAGCCACAGCACAGCAGAGGGGTCCTGGGTCTCCTGGAGGGACACGGGACAATATGATCAGAAACAAACAGCGAGGACACAGACACAGACACACTCACACAGACACACACACACACACACACACACACACACACACACACACACACACACACACACACACAGACACACACACACAGACACACACACACACACACACACACACACACACACTCCTCTGATTCATCTAATTGCTGGACCCTCAAAAGTTGCACAGGTTTTTTTTCTTAGAATTTATGCAAAAAAGAAAAGAAAAGTGAAAGACACAATATAGCTAAGAACTAGTAGAGTAAGATATGAACTCAAAATTAGGGCTGTAATTAATGATTATTTTCATTGTTGATTCCTCTATTGATCATTTTCTCCTTGAATCGACGTCGTTTGGTCTATAAAATGTGAGAAACAGTGAAAAGACGTCCTGAAATGTCTCTTTTTGTCCAAATACTCAAAGATATCCAGTTTAACTGTCACAGAGGAGTAAAGAAACAACAAAGTAATCACATTTAAGACGAGGGAATCAGAAGATTTTGACAGATTCATTTTGAGGACAGTTGGCGATTAACTTAATGGTTGACAACTTATCGATGAAATCATTGACGCTCCAGATCGTGAAGCGATGAGCACAGGAACCAAAGTTGGTCATAAATCATAATGTTTTGGGGCTTTTTTTCTTGTTAACATGTGTAAGCCTAATAAGGGGGGCTGACACATCACGTAAGCTTCTAACTGCTCCTCTAGCTGCTGGAGATAAACATCAACACGCTGTCACAGCAGCTACATTTAGCCAGTAATCCACACTGACCTCCAAGAGAAAAAGGAAATGTCACCAATATATGCTTAAATAGTGCAAATGTCACTTGATTCCATTTGCTCACCAAACCAAAAGCTCAACGCTGAATTCAACAGTTGTATTATGAACCGTAGTGACACCAAACTGCATCCAGATGGCGCACGCCGTCTACATCTGTGTGGCAGCCGGTTGATTCTTGCTGCTGCTGCTTTCTAGACTCATTTTTGGTTTGGGCCTCCATGTGTCCCGCCCCTTCATGTTGTACTTCAGGGGTAGAAGAGAGGAGGTGTGTGTGTGTGTGTGTGTGCGTGAAAGAGGTGGGCGGGTATGACTGATACCCGATCATGGAGGAAGATTTCTAATGCAGAGGGGAGGGGAATCAAAAGAGCTCAGTCTTTATGGTAAACGGCTGTACCTGGGCGATCACTGTTTAGTATGTTTACACTTGGTGATGTAATTGTTATGCGCGTGTGTGTGTGTGTGTGTGTGTGGGTGAAGAAGTCCCTGCAGCTGGCGGGAGACAGGGTGTGGTTGCCGGAGACGAAAGGGCGTAGCTTTGGTGGAGCTCATCACACGTTACAAGCTCATCATGGAAATAGGGGAAATGAGAGCTGAGGGCTGTTGGGCAGTTTGTAATTCAACTGTCTAAACTTTTTCTTCCCTAGAAACCATGAGCTCATTCATTTGTCCAGCACAGACTGGAAACGTACGCAGTTGCGGTTGTTGATTGTTGCAGTCACAGAGCGAGGGGATAACCATCTGAAGAGGCAGATGTATGTGCAGTAGACTAAATTGGGCTTGTGAGTCAGACGAGTCTGTGCAGGACTTCCTGTGTTAATCCAGACTCAGAGCTCAGCTCTGTATGCAAGATATTAGTTCCACCAGCAGATCTCTGATCATTTCTAATAATTGCAGGAGGTGGTCTGTGATCTTCATCCCGTACAATCTTCCATGTTTTAAATACTATAGACATACTATAATTCAATATATATGTTATAAAACTAGTCTCTGTGTCTTTTTGTTTTGTTTTCTCGACACGTTTTTTCTGCCTCACTTCTCATCGAAAATGACAGTTGGCCGTTATATAAAAGGACACTTTTGAGACCGATTAGCACCAAGAGACAATGATATTCAGTAGTTTCATTTAGACATTCTTTTAAGATGCGTAGAAACTCCTACATTCACGAGAGGGGTATTTACTGAGGTATTCTATATCACAGAACGGATCCTTATCTTAAAGTCACATCATCTTACCAAAACAGACGATTGAAGTCTTTCAGGACTCATTCCTGCAGAACTCTGAGGCGACACCAAGAAGTTATTTACAAATTGAAATACGGGTGAAAAAAAGGACCATCCTTTGAAAGCCAACAGGAAGTCCACATTGCACCAACTACTTCCTGCATCTTTAGCTAATCACCTCAAACAGTGTGTGTGTGTGTGTGTGTGAGTGTGTGCCCGTGGCTCTGGTCCATTTAATATAGTGGTCAGCTTTCTGCCCTTTTATGGAAGCAAATGACTGAGGCCCGGCTTGTTATTTCCTTTGCCTGTGACATCGGCAGGAAAATAGTTTGCCTTTTTTTCCTCTCCTGTTTTTGTGCTTTATTTAATTTAATTATTCTTCTGGGTGCTGTTCACAAAGTGTGACGAGTGATGCATTCAAGGGTTCAACAGCGTGGGCAGCGGCCAAATATTTAGGAGTCTAAGCGTGATAAGAGACTTCTTTTATCTGTATTTACACGGGATAAACTGGGACTGGGACTGTGTGTGCTAAAATGGATACTCTGAGAATTGTTTTTAAGAAATCCAAAGCCAACGTTTCCAGTTTATGCTCATCAGGGTTTTTCACGAAAGGGAAAACGACCCAAACATGGTCGTCTCCCCGCGACATCGTACGCAAATGTGCTGCACAGACGCACACATTCATCAGCTCGCCACGATCAAGTGAAGATATCACAGGCAAATGAGTCCGAGAGAGAGAGAGAGAGCAGCGGAGAGAGACTGCCTTCTACAGACGTGTGGCGGGTCAAACATCAGAAAGCTGAAGAGACGGAGAGAGCAATGAGGCAGACGACAGGAAGTGAGTGGGGGGAGGGAGGGAGGGAGGGGAGGATGATCGTACCATGACATCAGCAGTCTGATCGTGTCATGTGGCGCTCAGAGGCCTGAGTCACACGGAGCCGTCTGCAACCACGACGGGTTCTGAGATCCCTCTATGTATGTTGTTCACTGTTCTCCAAAACCGCTGATATTTTGGAGGCAGGAGCAAAAATCTGAGCTCTTATCCAGCAGCTTTCTGCCTGAACTAAACCTCAAACATCTGCACACTTTTGGCGCCTATCATCTTGCAGGAAACGAGCCTCCTTTTAGCCTCACAATAACCAGATTCATGAGAGTCCTTAAAATACACCAATATGTATGATATGCCCAGTCATACTGACAGCTTCTGGGCTGTATGAGCTGCAGTAGAACACGTTCGTAGTCTGGATGTAACTGTAGCCAGGTGCTGTTTGCATGACGTGTTTGCATAGCACTCACCTGAATGCTAGACACACATGAAAAAAGCAACAAAAGGAAAGACCGGGACACGCTAGCCAGAGAGAACTTAGTATTCATACAAACATATCTATGGATGATGACCTCAACATCCGTCCTCTCTACATCACAAAGACCGTGTATGTTTTTTGTCTCACGTGAGCTTTCTCTCTGCGGGCCTCCAGCAGTTTATCGTGGTAGTGCTGCGCCACAGACGGGTCCACGTCCGTGAGCTTGGCTGAGGGGTTCTGCAACATGGACAGGGTCTTCGTGGGATCCCCTTCGTCCAGGGCCTCGTTGATCAGTCCGATGGCGGCAATACCTGCACACGCAGACGTACAAGTGAACCGATTAACACTCAGAGACTTTGATCCCGATACGATATGAGAAGATGAGTCTGCTTCTCTCTGAAATCGCTTTTTTTGTTTTCCCCAATTTTTTAAATGATATTTCTTCAGGGAGTGCAGTTAGTGACAGTCTGGGCTCCATGTTAACGTAGCTCTGACAGCTTGACGGAGTAGCAGCAGGGGGCGGGGCTAAGCATAGGGTCAATTGATCAAGAAAAGAAGAAGAAACATAGTTTTGCATCAATTTATGTATTAACGCTGGTGGCTTAAACAAAGCTAGCTAACGCTAAGGCTAACGTCGATTGAACATAGCTAACATTAGCTGTATTTTGCGAGCAAAGCTTTCTGTGATTATGAGCATGTTGACCTATCGACGGTATCGCTATGTGAGACTCAGTCTTCATTTTGAGAAAACACTACCGCTTATGTCCACAGGGGGCGCCAAAATCAACACAAAATGTAAGCTCATTGTAGTTGCTTTAAATAAAGCAGCTTTACTTTTGTTACACTTCTGAACCTGCGGCCAACAAAGGACCTATCCCAAAGTTAACAAACGGTTATTCTGGGGTTCATGGAGCCCACTACATAAACCATAACTGTATTCTTCTGTATTAAAATGATCTTTATGTATGTTTAACCAACTACTGATGAATTATTAGTTGTATACTATCTAAAAATCTAATAGTTTTGAGAGGTTTACCGTCCAATCGATCTGTTAGCACACAAGCGATGAGCTTATTAGCTTATCTGCTAACCATTTTAAACATTTAACAAGATGAAGATGTAATTTGGATCAATCGCTGCTGTCTATTTAATACAATGTGTGGTTTGGAGTCAGGGTGAAGTTACATATCATGGAGGTGTTTAACACATTTGGGTGTGAACGGATGCGAGCGTGTCCCTTACGTTCATGCTCCTCCTGCACAGTCTGGTTGACTTGGTCGATAGAGGCTTGAATGTCGTTCCAGGTGAGAAAGTCGCAGCCGTCCTCTCTGGCTGCCGCCTTGAGATGCATCAGTTCGTCCATGTACCTGAGGAGCACACAGGTACGATAACACAGAAACCTCGGACATCACAAATATCATTTTCCCACTTAAATGTTTATGTTTTAACAAGAGAAAACCCGTTAAAAATAGACGATGGACAAGTACAACTTTCTGTTTTTGGAGTTTTTTGGTGCGTCATGTTTGACGTCACAAACAAGGTTCATAAACAGTGAACATGTTTTGGTGGTTATTTCTTTTTTTAAAATCTGTTACGTATTCTGTCTCTCTTTCAAACTCTCAACCAAGAGTCGGTGATTGTTGGAACAGTGGAAAGACTAACCAAGACGGTTTTATTTTGTTTCTGTCGTTTGAATGAAGTGTGTTTTTACGATTATCTGGAAGCTAAATTCCTGTTTCTGTGAATGGAGTCTGGTAGCTTTGAGGATTATCTGCAACAGCCGTTTCTTTCACAACTAACTCGCTGAATTAAGCGTTTATTCCTACCAAACCAGAATTGGTGATTGTTGGTACAGAAGAAAGATTAATCAAGAAGGTTTTGATATTAATCGCATGTTTTGTATGTTAATTATAATATTTTGTTGATTTTATTTGTTATAAATTCACTTATATTGTCCTAAAACAAAAGCCAGATGTTAGTGGGTTTTTCATCCAATAGGAAAGGGGCTTCAAGCAATATGTCACTGACTCCTGGTGTGTGTGTGTGTGTGCGTTTGTGTTTGTGTGTGCGTGTGTGTTAGCGTGCATGCTCACCTCTGTGCATATTCATCCTCCACATTACTGAGTCCAGTGACGTTGCTGGACAGCTGCTTCCAGAGTGCGGCTCGGTCTCCGACGTCCATCGCCTGGTTCATCAGCACCACCGACGACAGCATCTCCACAGCAACGAGCAGCTCGGGGTGGGACAGCGAGCCCTGCGGGGACAACGGGAAACAAAGTCATGTTGATGGCGTCTTGATTGGTTGCTGCACAGTTAAATCAGAGGAACCATGGAGCGTCAGAAACCGGCTCTGAAGCAACTGTGAAGGTGATGAAGACGTCAGCTATGAGAGATGAGGGCTGTATGGTTATGTACCGGGTTCATGGTCATTTTTCTCTGAAACATCTGTGTATACATGAAAAATAAGAATACAAGGTCGAACTATATATCGTTTCTACATCTTCCAACAAATTGAATTGAAGGCAGACATCAGCCAAAATCTTTAAAAACAGTCTAGATTGATAAAAAGCACTAGAATATATAAAAATATGCATTTTTAATTACAACTGGTCAACTGTCCCTTTAAAATATTGTTTAACCAATATAGATTTTTCACAGGTGGTATTAACTGAACCACATATGCTCTATTATACCTGCATTTGAGAAGCAAATATCCCTGACTTTTAAAAAACGTAAAAATCTATTTTTCCAAAACTTCTCCAGGCATGTAAATTACTATTTTCAAAGTATAGTTTAGGGTAAATACAACAAATGTACAATCTCATAAATCTCAAGGTGTGTTCTCTGAATATTACAGCCCTCCCCAGAATCCATACAAATGATTTGTTTTGCTCATAATGGCTGTTGTAGCACTGTGACGTAAAATACGAGAAATTAAAAAAATATTTTCATTAAATATGTGTCATCACTTGTAAAATGAGACAAGGTGGTGATAAATTAGTTGTTATTCATCAGTTCATAAAATAAACTCTGACTGATGACAATGTTTTCATTTTCAGGCCAACTCCTCCGGTAATTTAGCCTCAACAGACACACGATCCCATGTTTTCTTTGTGTGAAGAATGATGCGGTTGTGTGTTTCTTGTGTGTTTCCTGGTGTCTGGGTACCTCCGGGCTCTGCTGCTGCAGGCTCAACAGCTCTCTCTGGTAGAGGTCTGCAGCACTCGGGTAGACTTCCGGCAGCTGAGCATCGGGGTTCATCAGCTCCTCCACTGTCTTCTCCGGCACGCCCGCCCTGACGGCGCCGTTGATGCGTTCCACTGCCTTCATCACTACACACACACACAGACAGACGCTGGGTTAATTATAAGAGGAGATACAGACGTAGAAATGGGGAAGAAGACATAAATATGTTTTGCGTACTCTTTAGGTAGCCTTCTGCAATCTCATTGGCCACGTCCACGCCGCTCTGCAACTCGTCCTTAGTCAGGGCTTCTCCCGGAGACGCCTAACGAGGAAGAAGTTAAGATAAAATGACACTGAGGAGACGGGAAGCAGACTTTTCTTTGTTTGCACACTGATCCCCCACCTGGTCTTTATTCTCCCGGTCGGCCTGCAGCTGCTTGAGGTACCAGCCTTTGTTCTGGACCTGCAGGTTCTGAACCCCCATGGCTTTAAGGGCCTCGTATAACTTGTCCTCATCGCCACTCAGCAACGCCTGTTCGGCTGCACTCAAGGCGTTGCTCACTGTAGGAGAAAGAGTTGACGTTTTCACTACTGCGCCATGGAAACCGAGGCAGTACAAAACACGCATGTTGCGTGTGACTTACCGTTGACCTTTTTGACGTTGCCCTGGATTTCAGCCTGGGTGAGAAGCTCATCGTAGATATCTCTCTCTGCCTCGGTGTTCTCCATTTGCTGTCGGAGCAGAGCAACAACAAAATATGGCTCAAATATAACAGCATTACACGTTAGCACTATTTATTATCACATTTTCGGCTGCAGGACAACAGAGTAACACATTTCTCTTTCCAGACTTGTTCCCCTGCTCTGATTTTCTGCTGTGATTTTGGTCATTTGTTTGCTCTGCCTGTTGGCGAAACAATCATAAATCCTACATTTATATTTCACTGTAAGAAGTGCTGGCAAATCTGTCAGGAGAACGGAGTGACTTCCTTCCCCTCTCAGTCCGTCTTCGAGCCACCGTTCTTTACCGTCGTGGCTGATTTATTATTTGTTGCCCAAGTGGTTTGTGTCGACCTCAGCATTTTATTCTGTCCCATGCCAAATTTTTCTTCCGCTTCAGGCTGTATGTTCGATTATTTTCTAATCAAAAACGTGGACAATAGCTTGTCCCGTTTTTTAATTATATGGTAATTTATGTGCTCAAAGGAGATGTTGCCCCAGGGCCACCATCCGTCGTCTCTGGTCATCTGAAAGCTGCGCACAGCATCTTTGATCGCTGACGATTTAAAAAAGCTCCGTACCCGTTTGCGTGAGTTGGCCACCTTCATTCCCTTGGCCTGGTACAGCGTGTCGTGGTACTGGTGAGCAGCGCTGGGGTCCAGCTGGACCAGCATGGCGTTGGGGTTCTGCATAGCGGCCACAGTGCCCTCCGGTACGCCCTGGTCGATGGCCTCGTTGATGGCGATCACAGCGGCATGTACTGAGGGGGGGGGAATAGGAGGTGGTGAGGAGATATACAGATTTTGGGGACTTTAATCTGCATTTTTATACTATTGCTAGAGGATGTTAAGTATCAATCAATAAACATTGAACTTAAGGAATTATTTAAGATTTTGGTTGGGCTGGTTTATCCACTTTCTTGGCAAGAGTCAGATGAAAAGATTGATACTACGCTCATGTCCGTCTGTTAAAGAGTAACTTTTGTTTTGTTTGTTAGAGTTTTGGCCTCTATCCTGGAAATTCAAAAGAATGCCTCTAGAACGTGAGAGAAGTGCAATACTATGTTCCTGCATTAGGAGGCTGCAGTTTCTGGACCACATTTCTAGGACCCGAGTATTATTCTACCTAAATACTACTTTCTATATAAATACTGTGTTAAATGACGTGCCATGCTACAGGTTACAGCACATTAAAAGCAACACATAAACCATTAGGCTTGGTCCACGATACTTTAAACATTTTTGCCTGACTTTTCATGTCATGTTCGTTACCCTTTCAATTAGCTTATGCTAATCACTGTGATATGTGAATGCTAGCTACCTTTGTGGCTACTAGCAGTTAGCATATGTGATTCGTAGGCTAATTCAACGGCCACTCTTCACTAATGGAGTGCTGCAGGAACAATACTAAACACAGAAAAAAAGTATGGATTTTTTGAATGTACACATTGAATGTAGTACATTTAGTTGGATGCAGTTTACCAAATAAAAACTACTTAAAACATATAAAGAAGTGGAGAAAAAAGTGAATTCTAAATGCCAAAATCAATTAAACTTTAAAGTCTATAGAAGGAGTAGAAGTGGAGCCATTATCTTGGGAATTTGTGGAAATGTAGCATTATGCTGCACAAAGACAAAAACAACTAGCTGTCATTATGTCTTATTTGTTTCTTAGGTAAACAATTGATAGATCCCCAAAAATATGGCTGAATTACCTCCAGAAGTTTAATTATGAATGCATGAATCAACTAAACTACATAATCTGCAGCTATCAGATCCCGCCCCTCTCCCCCACGACACCCGAGCCCTCTCTCACATGCAGCTTCATCCACCGAGAGCTCATTGGCCAGGATCCCGCCGATCTTGCTGAAGGCGGGCATCTGGATCCCATACTTTTCCAGCTCACTCTTCATGTTGTTGATCTCCTCCTCTGTGAGAGAAGACAGAGCAGAAGGAAAACATCAATGCACAGAGCAGATTGGGGGGGGCGGACGGGACGGGACGTGGAGACAAACCATTTGTGGAACATGTGCGATAATCAGCTTTCTAACTCTGGGACATAAAGCCAAGCGGGAACTTGACTGACAGGAAAAGCTCCCACAATTACTAATGACTTTCACATTTCCAGCAGTTTCTCCACACTGTGGCCTGCTGGGGGGAAAAAACACTCCTCCTCCTCCTCCTCCTCCTCCTCCTCCTCCTCCTGGCGCTGCTTTCAGGGTCCAGACACATTTGAAACATTTAAACTGTTAACTTTGGCAACATGGTGACATTCGTAGATCTAAGATGACATAACTGGATTAACAGGGGACAGAATGAGGAAAACAGATGCACGGACTTGTGTGCAAGCTTACCGGTGAAATCTACTTTTCCATAAAGATCCTGGATCTGAGGGGCCAGGCCGAGCTTGAACAGGTACAAGCTGTAAAAAGAGGACGGAGAGACAATAAATAAAGGAACATGGCAGCGTAGGCAGTAGCAGAACAGGAAGAGAACAGAAACAAATACACACAAAACAAATCCATGCAGGGTTTGTCTTTGCACAGGGCCAGACATATTGACGTCATGAATATTACAACTTCAGCACAACCTAATTACTGCAATAAAAAAGGGGAGTAAGAGGGGTTCAAAGACTGACAGGTCAGAGCGAGCTAGTATCAGAAAGCAGCCCTGTCATTTAAGGGCCAGGAAACAGATGCTTCAACACTCGACCATGTCGTCACTCGTGTCACTTTGTGAAGCTGCAGATTCAAACAATTCAAACACATGCATTGGAATTGTTTGTTGTAATTTGTTTCTTCAACTTCTGTGACAAAGTGAGGTAAACCCATAGAGCGCATATAAGAAGTGGACTTAGTCATCGTGACCTCACCCATTTGGTTTGTGGACTCCCGCTTTGAAGCCTCGAGTTCAGCGTTTTGGCCGTCGCCATTTTGTTTTTTTGCAACCAGAAGTGATTTAAGAGCAAAGTACAACCGGACGCTAAATAAGACATTTAATCACAGTCAATCACAAGGAAGCCCCGCCCTAAAGCATACAGATATTCTGTGAATGCATAGCCACACAGACAAAGACAGAGAGACAAAAACAGAGAGGGTACCTGAGTGCATGTATACAGTAGATGCAGCGTGGCATGTTCTTTCTGTCATATATGTCTGTGGTTTCTGGGTAGAAGATCTGAAACACAAACGGGGACATTCAGTCGATCAGAGCGGGTCCGCTTTCAGCAGGTTTCATGGTAGCAGCACACCGGCGTGTCGCAGCATGTGTGCAGCAGTGATTCAGGGTTAGTAGCTCTGATTGGGTATTACACAATGGTGTGTGAAATGAAAAGGACTTATATTTTCTGTTGAAGCTGCCAGTTGGTGGTTGTTTGGGCTGATTTCTTTTTTTAATGCCAACATAATGACAAGTATTCAGAGTTTCCAGAGTTAACAGGTGGGGAAATGTGTCAACACTTTTACTGTAATAATGGGCAACTTTCAACTTCTTTTATTCTGAAAAGTCATTTAAAAAGGACCATTTGTACATACTAACTGCCAAACAAAGTTAACAAATAACAGACGCGAGCCATGCTCACCTTTGGCAGTCCCTTCTCTGCCATGGCGTTGAGCCACTGGATGACGTTGTCTGTGTGTCTGAAATGGAGACCGGTCGCCTGGAAGAGAGAAACCAAACGTCAACAAACTCAGATCCAGACTCATTCACACTGACAACAAGAGCTATGAACTCAGGTCACATTCATCCAACAGCTCCAACCAGGTCACAAAGTCAAACACTGGATTTAGAAGATGTCAGTAAGGATCAACGGAGGTTTGTAGAACCACAAATGTCTCACAGTTCTACCCGAGACCAAAATAATGGAGATTAACATGTTGTTTTTTACAGCACCATAAAAGGCAGCAAAGTGTTTTGTGGCCAAACAACAGCACTCTGTTTCCAAAGCAAAGTCACCATTTGGCTTCAAAACACTGGCTAGTTAGCTTGTCCTTCTCCATAGCGGCGGGGAATGACACAGAGGGAACAATGGACCCAGCTCTGCTGCTGACCACCAGCCCGCTTCTCGACTCACTTTCTGTAACCAGTGTAGAATTGAAGCATGCTGAATAACTAGCCAGGTGTCCGCTAAATAGCTAGCTAGCTTGTTAATTCCACAATGCTTTAATGCTACACTGGTTACAGAAAATGAGCTGAACAAAGTTGTCACTCATCTGTTGACATAAATGTGCTTTCCTACGTCGTGACAAGAGTGTCTGGATGAAGCATTAAGTCGTAAAACAAATTTCAACTAAAAATGGCCGCCGCTCTGACCATCCTGCTACAATGACCCGGTCACTGAAGATAATCCACCGACCTCGTAAGGAGCAGTTACATGTCATGCGCTTCTATCGAACTACAACCGTATCACCCCGCAAAGGGAAGTGTGCATCTATACTGGATACTTCCAGCTAACCTAGAAATACTGAGCTAGCTAATGCTGGAGCTCAGCCGAGGACACTATTAATGTTTACATCTCGTGCCGTCTCGAGCCTGTTGGCTCGGTGTAGTTCAGTAGAAAGCAAAAAAAGCTCCTTCATGAAACTGCTCTCAAAAAGGTCTGTGGATTATCTTGAGTGGGTCACGATTTCTGGAAAGAGACATTGCTGTTGAGTTTTTAAAATGTATTTGTTGGCAGAACACAAAACACAAGAGTTTTATCTAGTCCAGTTATATTGGAGAGAAGGTCGGCATCTCAACGACTGATTCCTCCAAAACTAGTCAACTCACGCTAAAACAGTCCAGATTGATAAACAGCACTACAGGTTAGAGGAAAAATATGTATTTAACTTTAACGCCCACATGCTTCATTTTCACAATTGTTCCCTTATGATGCAGAGTTTTCTTTCGTGATTGTCATTGCATTTATTGTAATTATTGTAAAACCTGCTGGGAGAGTTTTTGGCCTACTAATGGAAGTAAAAGTTCTGATTATCCAACACTTTAATACTTATCTGTCTATTGATGATTCCAAGTGGAAGCTCTTTCCATTAGAACAACCATCAGGCTTTTACTTGAGAACTAAAGGCTGGATTGCTTTATGACTTGCTGTGGATATTCATTGCATTACTGTGTTTACTTCACAAAGTCACAACTCAAAGCAGGTGACGTTTTCAACACGATTTGCAGTTTAATCTCTTTAATAACAGAGTTATTTTTAAAGCGCATAAATTGGACGTGGAAATGCATGCAACCATGCATTTCACCCCTCTGACTGACAATCAGATTATTGGCATTTTATCTTCCTCCGATTGTATAAATACATAATGCATGTTTTTACCTTGTAGCGCGTCTGTTCGCGGTCGTAGATCTTCTTGAGGGAGACGGTTTTCGGGGCGAAGAAGTTGCCCAGTTTGGCCAGATAGACGCCGTTCCTCAGCCCCTCTTCCAGCTCCGTGGTGGGAGGCAACTCCTCGTCCAGACAGGCCTCCATCCATCTGCAAAAGAGAGCACACACAACAACATTTATATCAAAGAGAACACAAAGAGGAAACATACAGTACACATGCATACTTATACAGCTTAGCTTCCCTACAGGGGATAATTACTGCTGATGAAACTCAAGCGAGACTTCAAAAGGGGTTTATTTCCTGGCCCTTGGAAATAGAAAGCAAGTTTAAAATGGGCTGTGCTCAGATTAACAGCATCTTATTTAAGAAGCTCTTGATCATTACATTACATTACAGTCATTTAGCAGACACTTTTATCCAAAGCGACTTACAATTCAGAGTCTATCACATTTCTACACCGTAGGCACAACTACGGGAGCAATTTTGGGGTTAAGTGTCTTGCTCAAGGACACATCGACATGCGACTAGCAGAGCCGGAGCCTGGATTTGAACCGCCGACCCCCCTGCTATCCACTTAGCCACAGTCGCCCGATCAAGTCCTGTTGGTCAAACGGAATCCTAATTACTTGATGACTTTTCATCCAGCTTCACCTACATTTCAGCGAGGCTCAACTTCCTGTTGATCGACTGATTGATTCGTCAGCCATTGTAGAAAATAAGGAGCCCTGAGGGAGGATCATTCCTCACTGTGTTTTAGATGAAAATGAACCCACAGTAAAAAATTAAGTACACATAGTATAAAGTCTGTATTCCACAAATTATAGCTCCTTCACATTCCCTAATAAACACAATCTCGTGAATTATTCTGCACCAATAAAACTAGTCTGGCTGACGGCTCTGCAGCTCCAGAACAAAACACACACACACACACACCTGGCCTGTAACCTCTCCTCCTGAACACAGAGTTCCCAGCATTCCTCATGTGTGACATTTCATTTCTTTTAGGTCATATTGTGGAGTCACACTCCTGCTGTGTGCACGTGTCCGCTCTGGGCCACAGAGGAGACATTTATTTATTTCACCTCATCACCTGTGTGCCTTTTCTTATTTAGTTTCATAACAGAGAAAAGGTCAGAAGTACATTTTTATCTAATGTGGGTCTTTTGTTCTTTGCCTGAACCAACATGTATAGTTTTAATGTAGTTGCCTACAAAGCAACATGTAATGGACGGTGGCATCTTCCCTGCTTTATTAAAGCCTCCAAATATCAGCTCAGATTATTAAAAAAAACCTTGAGTTTATCATCTGGAATTTCACAGTGTGACGTCAAACATGGCCTCTCTCTTTTCATCTGCTAAGAAAACACTCCCACTCTTCTTCTGTAACTAAGGTCTTTGTCAAGCAACAACAAGGTTAACTATATCCTGAATAAGCTTAAAAGATTCCTTTCCTCCTACAGACAGCCAGCCCCCCCCCCCCCTTACCCAAACACACACATTAGTATTAGAGCTTACAAACTTTTTCAATTCTTGTTGGGACATTTGGTCCTCGTACAGACACATGAAAACACACCCACGCGTTGCAGCGCGCAGGGCCAGCTAACACACAGCTAACACACAGCTGAAACAACTTCCCTGCCAGGAAGTCATGACATGGGCTCTCCAGACAGGCCGGCTATTGAGGCGGAGGTGGCCGACCCCATGGCGCAGGGGCCTGCCAGCCGGGGAACAACCCCCTCCTTTCACTCCACGCTGGAGCAGTGAAAGGCTCCATAAAGTCTTGCTCACTAATGGCTCTTTTATCAGGGCTACACGCCCTTTTTCCAGGGGAGCACAAACACAGACACACCCTCCACTTCACCAGCAAGAAACAGCAGCTATGAATGGGATATCTGAATGTCGACAACTGGATTCCAGCGGCAGCGCAGAGCGGCGCAACATGTATCACGTTGTAATTATTAGGACACCGACAGGCATGTCTACAATCAACTAGCCACAAATATGAAAGCGCTGTCTGGAATTACTCCAACCAAATAGCAGATGAGAGATATGAAGCTGCCACAGCTACGTGAAGGCTAATGTCCTGCCATACAGATCAACGAGCTACACATTCACGTCTGTCATTTTATCCTGTTAGAATTTGTTTGAAGTCGTCATAATTGACATATGAATTCTTGAGCTATGGCCAAAAAAAAAAAAAAAGCGTGTTTTGTGAGGTCACAGCGACCTTTGACCTCCATTTCTAATCAGTGCATTCTGGAGTCCAGGTAGACGTTTGAGCCATAAAGACATTTTCCTCCAGGCGTTCCTGAAATATTATGTTCATGAGAATGGGACGGACAAAAACATGTTAAAAATGTTGACATCACCCTCCTTGTGATTGCAAAACTAGGATATATAGCTGCAAATTTATCCAAATAAAATGTGATTTCAATCAAACTAGCCAGTTAAAAAGGTTAAAACTAAATGCAAATCAGGTGAAAAATCAACACTGCATCACTGTAATGAAACCAAACTGGTAGCAAAATGGCTGCAAATCCAACATCACCAGCAGTTAAAGTATGTAATATACAATATTAATTATTATAGAATCAATGAAGACAATAAAAAAGGGAACTATATAGCCAGTGTAATTTGTTTATGTCGGGTTTATCTCATGAACTTCTGCATATATGGAACAAAATAAGGTCTAGGTGCTACGTAAATACTGTGCAAGTATCAAATTGCTTAATCTGTGGACAAAATGCACACAGACTCCAACTATCCAGTCGCCGATAGAAAAATAAAGAGTTTATTGAACATTAAACCATGTAAACGTGTTCTAGTAGAAACCCAAAATACATGGATGAACCTGAAAATGACAAGCCTCCAACATTCATCCCATTATGCTAGCATGACGTGAACGAGGCGGTTTTGATCCTAAATCTAGTCAGAAATCAATAAACAGCTCGACTCAAGTGTTAATAACCTGCGTGAGATAGTGTGTGCTGGACCATTATAGAAGGCTTTTGGTCAATTATACTGTAAACCCATAATAAACTAGAGGGGCATCCACCAACGCTGCTTCCACCCCGTGATTTGGATTCACTCCAAATTTTTATGGTTTCTTCCGTGACTCACGCTCCACCCTCCAACCAAGTTTCATGAAAATTGGGCCAGTAGTTTTTATGTAATCCTGCTGACAATTAAACCAAACCGAAAACAAAGGACTGGAATAAACCATGATCACGTCTCTGCATCAATGCATCATCCTCATCGCGCGTGCCGACAGGAAGCTGAAGTCAGGTCGAGTTCAGAGGTCGGT